TTCGAGCCATTCATCTCATCCATTAAAAAGTTTTAACTTTCTTAATATTGACAGCAATGAAATCATTTAGCACATTAAATTTCTTAAAAGCATTAGCATTATTACAGAGTATTGACTGAATCATTTCTTTACAATGAATGTGGGAAATAAAGTGTTGTTAAATTATTTCATTTAAATTCTACTGCTAATGTACTTTTTGAATACTTATTTACTTTAGTGACTAGCCTACTTTTTAAAAAGTAAGGGCAGTTTTAGACTGGTAGAGTTTAAGCCCCTTGTTTACCTTGGCTAATGTGGTACTTCCTTAAGTTTTCAGTTTCTGTACACTGTGATTGAAATTTTAAGGAAACTATAAACTTTTTGATTTGATACAACCCAGTAAGCTTAAAAATACATTTTTTAGGGCAGTGCCTGTGGCTCAAAGGAGTAGGGCATCGGCCCCATATGCTGGAGGTGGTGGGTTCAAACCCAGCCCTGGCCAAAACTGCAAAAAAAAAAGAAAGAAAGAAAGAAAAAATACATTTTTAATGTACATATTGTGAGTCATGGAATAAGACTTAAGATATTGAAATGTATTATTTTGTTCTTTGCATAGAAGCTGTTGGGAAGATATGTTGTTTTTACTTTATTGATACTTTCTGGTCATTTTTTCTTCTTAAGTATGCCCTCATTTGATTGATCTTTCATGTAATTCAAATATTCAGATTTTTGATAATTGAGCATGAGAAGAATTACTGGAAAAAATAAAAATGATGCTACATGTAAAAGTCAACATTGAAGGATAGATTTTACTATATTTCATTAAAGCATAAATGTAAATATAGGACAGCTGAGAAAGATATTTTCTAGAGAAATGTCAAAGAATTAAAATTGCTTTTTAATGTGCTAGTAGCCATTGAAAATTCTTAAGAAAATAAATAGCACCAGCTTCATTAGAAAACAGATGAAGGAGATAAACAGGTAACTTACAAAACAAAAAACAAAAAACAAAAAACGCCCAAAGCCTATGGAGTGAAAATATTATGGCTGCTATTCTTTAACACATGTAAAAGATATGATGTAATGCATATAACCAGACTCCAGGAAGAATTTGGGTCTCAGGAATTAAAATTGCCTATTTCTAATTTTCTAATTCTCAGGAATTAATTTGCCTATCCAAAAAGCAAAGCTATAAGATCAAGAATAAATATGGGAATATTTATATGGAAATTTGACCCCAAATGTATATAACACTTATATTCTGGAGGTCAATATTAAGTATAGGTATATGTATAAAGCAAAATCTTTTTTTGTTGTTGTTGCAGTTTTTGGCCTGGGCTGGGTTTGAACCCACCACCTCCAGTACATGAGGACACTGCGCTACTCCTTGAGCCACAGGTGCCACCCTAAAGCAAATTCTTGTAATCTTTACATCAAAGGCAATGTTCCCCACCCTATAACTCTCAAACAATATATTTGTAAATCTGAATATAGGTCATAAAAATATGTTTAAATCTACTAGTAGTTCAAGAAATAGAAATTAGTAGCATCTACATCACAGAATTATAGAGTGGATTATATAAATTATTATATACAAAGCTCTTAATGCTTAGCATATTGTAAACATTACTTAGAGTTAGGTATTACTACTGTTAAATTAAAATATCTTGTTTTCACTTATTATTTTGATGAAGATTAAAATAATTTTTAACAATTAGCATGACGCCAGATATTACACATACTTAGTAAATATTTATTGAATTAATCTCATGATATTTAGTATAGTTTCCCTAGCTGCACAGCACAAACAAAGCATATATAACTATAGGTGAGTTGCTGGTAGTTTTGATGGGAGGACATTGGCAAGCGGTATCACTTTCCCAAGGGAAAATGTGAGCTCCACTCAAAGTGATGATTATGGAATTTACTTATTACCCTTTTTGCAATTTGTGATCACTTGTAAGTTTAATTACAGACTATATTGCCTAGCTTTAAACCATCTCAAAATGATCATGAGTCCTGGATAAACAGCTAAGAGGAAGTTGCAGTTTAGTTAGAAGTGTTTCTTATTATCTTTCTGAAACAAACATCTCTTTAGAACTTATTTTTAGCTTTTTATCTTATCCCTTTTAGGTTCAATTTTTATGTATTTTATATTATATACTGCTCTAATATTGTTCTAGTATAAAAACATACACAATACATCTAGTTAAATGTATATATAATACCTTTTGGTTTAAGTTTAGGGTTACCACTTCCTGATTCATAAAGACTGTCCTAGTTTTGGTTCTTTTCTTACATCCTGGGAAACCCCTCAGTGCCAAGCAAACCAGGATTGCTGATCACTCTATAATATATCTTACTGATAAAGATGCACAACCAAAAAACTACAGAGATTACTGTTCAAACCATCTCTTCACCATCCTTCCCACGAGGTCAGGGGGTATACACCTGGCCCACCTACGACTGACAAGGCTGACCACTTTATCTCAAAGTAATGAGGCAACCTCAAACATATCCTAGAAGGACAAGAGAATCCTCAGAAAAATGCACTCTTCAATTCTTGAGTTAGCTGATCTCAGTACTGAGCAGCTGAAAGTGAACTAGGAGGGTTACTTAAAGTCATCGTTAAGAAAACAGTGTGTTCAGAGTAGAAGTACAAATGATGGCAGATGTCCCCAAGATGTCCTGGTAAGAGGCTGTGGGTAAGACCACAGAAATTAAAAGGATATTTCCTTGGGCTAGAATTTTCTCTTCTTGCCAGTGAGTAGAAAGCCCACTTTTTTTTTGCAGTTTTTGGCCAGGGCTGGGCTTGAACCCACCACCTCCAGCATATGGGGCCAGCGCCCTACTCCTCTGAGCCACAGGTACCACCCTGGGATAGCTCACTTTTAAGATGGTGGCACTCTGCCTTCCCAGCCTCTGATCATAGCTTCAACATGAATAGAAAGCTCTGCAAATATACCCTCTTTTCTGAGAACTGTCTCTACTATAAAGTTCCTGCAGAAGTACTAATACCACATTCTTTAATAATACTTCTTCAAAATCAACAAATATAATTCTGTATATATATATACTCATTTTGCATATAAATTTTACCTATGTGTATAGAATTTCACTTAATCTAACTTAAGAAAACTTAAATACTCTTGGATGAATACAAAGTCTGAAGAAGGAAAACTGTAATTACGTAGTATTAAAAATCAGAGGATGTTTCAATTATTAATGAAAAAAGTTTAATTAAAAATCCATGAAGGCAACACAATGGTAAACAATACACTAGATAGAAATGTATACTCTACATACATATGACTTTACATTTTGTCTATTTCAAACCACAAGTTAGAGAATAAATTTTAATGATGTAATAATGAAACAAATGATAACTCTTACATTACAAAAGTATAAATTCTTTATACATAATGCCAAATAGTGGTGTGATGGTTGATTTTACATGTCCATGTGGTTAGACTATGGGAACCAGTTGTTTAGGCACAACAGCCTAGATGCTGCTAGAAAGGTATTTTTAAGATGTGTTTAAAATTTATAATCATTCAACTTTAAGCACATTACCCTCCTTTATGTAGGTGGCCCTCACTCAATCAGTCCAAATCCTAAAGAACAGACTGCATTTTCTTAAGAAAGAATTCTGCCTTCATTCTGCAATACAGAAATTTTGCCTGACTTTCTAAATTGGAATTGAAGACTGCAATATCAATGCTTATTTGACTCTCCATCCTGCTAGCTCATCTTACAAATTTTCATATCGTATCCCACACAACACCATGAGCCAATTACTAAAAATCTCCATCTGACCCTTCTCTTCCCTCTCTCCTGCTAGCTCATCTTACAAATTTTCACATCGTATCCCACACAACACCATGAGCCAATTACTAAAAATCTCCATCTGACCCTTCTCTTCCCTCTCTCTTGTCCCCTTCCTCCTCATTTCCTATTGGCTATGTTTCTCTAGAGAACCTCAACTAATATAAGTGATTTGAAATATAAAATGACTTAGATTCTTTATTAAAATAGCACCAGTCACCCAGCTATATGGAAATTTTAACTATTTGGCAATATATAAGACACAAAACAATTTGTAGTCTTATTAAAATTACATTTAAAAATGTTTTAAAATATATATAGCTAAGGGAAGCTGATTGCCTTAGTTGAGAGGAAAAAGATCCAGCTAATTTAGGTTACTAGAGTCAACAATTCAGCAAAAATGATTTTTAAAACTGAACTCATTGAATAATTGTTTTCTTCAGTCTTCAAAGAAATGCCAGGATTGAATAATTCTCTTCTTTGTAGAGATGGTGTTACCTATATTATACAAAATTTTGAGTAGCTTTTTAAAAGTATACTATTTGGATCCTGTTATTTTATACAGGGCACATTATAAAATAAAATATCCTAAAGGAGTGTGACTTTAATTTTAGAACATATGTCTAGCTTTCAAAGGCTCAAAATTTAGTTGGTTCCTTTTTGAGTTTAACCTGTTGATTAATTTCCCAACTATTGATGATCACAACCATAATGTATAATGTTACTCAGTGGGGTTTTGTTTCTGAATGTTGATAATAATCTTAAAGGAAACTACTGGCACATAGTTTAAAAAAATCTATACAGGGCTATCTGGAAAATATCCAGCCATGTGATATTAAAAATCATATTAACAATGGCTGGATACTTTCTGAACAGCTCTCATATAATATCTAAAATATGTTTTGTTCATTAAATCTACTGTAACTAAAATGATAATCCATTCACATCAAAAAATTAGAGAATGGGACATTTCTAATATATGTATAATTTTAATCTTGAAAAACAACCTTAATACTTTACTCTTTTGCTTACCCCTCTTCCATGCTATTAATACATCTATGAATAAAAACAGACATTACGTTTAGATACCAAACAAAAGTTCAGAAGATTAATAGACAATTAAACTTATGACAAATTATACTTAGCAATAAACTGTTCCTTTGTTGTCACATTTGAGACTTTCTTTTGTATATATATTAAAAGATTCGCAGAAGAATAAAACCTATGCAGAATGAGTTAAACGCTATCCACTGAGGTGGTTTCCCATTCAAGATTGGATCGTCTGTCAATGAAACAAAATAGTAAAGAGCACAATTTAGTTTCAAGGGTAGAATTAATTCTAAAATATTTAGAATATTTAGAATTAATGAGTTAATTCTAAAATATTGACATCTAGGCAGATCTTAGTAGCTCAGGCAGTGGGGGGAGTGGCAGTGGCCAGGCAGCTGACCTTTCCCAAAGCTCCTGGCAGGCTATGGCCTACACTCCTTGCCTGTGCCCTGCCCATCCCCAGGCTGACAAGAGGGAGGTCAGCTCTGGAAAGGCCAGGGGAAGAAGAGCCCAAGAGGAGGTCAGCAGGGTTATCACCTAACCCTGATCTTGCAAAAGAGGAAACAAAGCCAAAAAAACTATCAGCAAGGGATAAAAATAAATCTTGTGACAAAAAGCCCAACCAAAAGGGAAAAGGGGAACAAAGGGAAAGCAGGCCCAAGTGGCTAATCAAGAAACGAAGGGAGATTGACTTGCAGAAAATGGAGAAACTAAAACCAAGGAGAGTGCGGCCGCTGGTGAAACAGGAGAGAAAGAAGCCAAGTCTGAGGAGCATCATACACGTGTCTATTAGCGGTCCCCGTCTCCCTTCTTGTACAACCAGAGGAATATTTTTATCAACTGCTTTATAAATGCGAGTTTTTGAGTAGCTCCAGAAACATTTTTTAAGAAGGAAGGAATCCCACCTCATCCCACTTTTCAAGTGCAAATGCTTTGTTTTTTTAAGAGGTGGAATCATTTGCTGGTTGGTTATTTTTTTCTACAAACAGAATACAATGTGGGATGTTGAATTATGGGAGGCTTTGACTGTCTTGGGTGCGAGCTTAACATTCCATAGATGGGGGTTAGTTTTTATATCCCACAATACAAAGCATCCTACATGGCAATATAGAGTCCCAGCCCTGCCTTTAATGTCTTGAACACTTTAAATGACTTTTGTTCCCATGTTGTTTTTCAGTTTAATTGTTTCCTAAAGAAAACCACTGCCTTGGCCATGGCTCTCCCTGTCAGAATTGTGTACACTCTATAGCATCTTTGGTTGTGGGAGTCCTGTTTTCCTGAAAACTCTGTTTCTGTGCTGTGAAGGACTGAAGATTTGAGTGTGTAGCGTATATGGGAATAAACGATAAATTAGTGGGTCTTATGTCACAGCTTATCAATATTTGAAGAAACTGGTACTTGATATCCTCTCAAGGAAAATTTGTGTCTAAATTTTAAGCTGCAAAGTCACTGGAATAACTGTTTAAAAAAGAATTACAATACATAGCTTTTTAGATTTGGGGTACATATGTTATGAATTGTGTACATTTAAATGAGAGTTTTTGAGTAGCTCGCATTTAAATGTCTGTACTGATTGTCAGTACAACTAATAAAATCTCAATTATAAAAAAATTGATATTTACATAGGTAGTGTCAAGTATAATAATTTTTGAAATCCCTAAACTGGAAAAGAAGTTTAATACTGTGAAATGAAAAGCATTCATTTGCTTTTTCGAATTTTTAGACTAGAATAACCAATTTAGGAAAATTAGCTTGACATTGTATTTTAAGCAAATGAAAGCTTTTATCCACTCCTATATTACTTAAAAATCTTTATTGTACTCCTTACCAATAGTGTTATATCAACAAATATTTTAGAACACTGTGTGGAAGGCTCAAAAGCAAAAATAAACACAATAACTACAAAGTATTCATAATTGACTTTATTTTTGGCACCCCATCATGCCCAGATTAAGTCACAGAAAAAACAATTTTTTCATGTTGAATTTCATGCACCCAGAACCTTCCATTAACAATTTCGTCCATTTCTGATGTGGTCCTCGTTCTAAATATCACTCCATGTCTTCCCACATCATCATTTTCTTCCCAGTTTGCCAATCTAATAGGATCTTGCATTTGGTTAAGAAGACTTATGCTTTGTAAAATTCACTTATTATTTCACTTCCTGCTATATATTGAACATGATTCTAGCTTTGGCTATAATGGTTATCAAGAAAAAATAAAGTCCCTTTCATTATAGGAAAGTGAGAGGGGAAATCTATCACCAATGTTAAAGCAGAATAAATAAAATGAATAAAAACGGTAATTTCAGAGAGTGATAAATGTTATGGGAAAATATACACTGCTTTAAATGATATAAAATAATGAGGAACTTAATTATGATAAAAGTTAAAATGTATTGAGGACTTACTTTGTTTGGGGCTCAAATAATTTTGTAATAATTCATCATATTTAATCCTCTTAATCAGTTCTTGATTTAAGCCATCTGACTCTGCAAGGCCTATATACTTAACCATTATGCAATATCTCTGTCTCTCAGAAAAAGTAGTAGCCTAAGCTAAAACTAGTTTTTTTGTAAAGACTAACCAAGAAAAATGAGAAAGTATAAATCTAAAGTGATAGGATGAAAAAAGAACATAACTTCCGCAGTATAGGAATAAGCTCTTCTTTGAAGTTTTAGTAGAATTCTGGTGTGAAGCCATCTGGACCAGAACATTTTTTTTTTAGAATATTTTTTATTGTTTCTTTGATCTCAGTGCTTGAAATTGGTCTGTTCAGGAAATCTATTTCATCTGGGCTAAGTCTAGGGAGAGGGTGTGATTCCAAATATTGATCCATTTCCTTCAATTGTCAAATTTCTGGGCATAAAGTTTTTGGTAGTATTCAAAGATAATCTCTTATATCTCTGTGGCATCAGTTGTTATTTTCCCTTTTTCATTTCTGATTGAAGTAACTAGAGATTTTACTTTTTGATTTCTGGTTAGTCTGGCCAAAGGTTTCTCTATTTTATTTATTTTTTTTCAAAAAGGCAACTCCTTGTTTCATTAATTTTCTGAATGATTCTTTTGTTTTCAGTTTCATTAATCTCTGATTTAATTTCAGATATTTCTTTTCTTCTGCTGGGTTTGGGCTTAGATTGTTCGTCTTTTTCCAATTCCATCAGGTGGCTTGTGAGTTTGTTGATGTGCTCTCAACAAACTATACTGCAGAAATTATTCCAAAAATTGAGGAGGAAGGAATCTTCCCCAACACATTCTATGAAGCAAACATAGTGCCAGCATGGTACTAGCACAAAAATAAAGACATAGACATTTGGAATCAAACGGAAAACCAGGAAGTGAAACCAACAGCTTATAGCCACCTAATCTTTGATAAACCAAACAAGAGCATCCACTGGGGAAAAGACTCCCTATTCAATAAATGGTACTGGGAGAACTGGATATCCACATGTAAAAGAGTGAAACTGGACTTTCACCTTTCTCCAGTCACACAAATTGATTCAAGATGGAGAAAGGACTTAAATTTAAGGCATGAAACTATAGAAATACTTAAAGAATAGGAAAAACACTGGAAGATATTGACCTGGGGAAAGACTTTATGAGGAAGACTGCCATGGTAATAGCAAAACAGCAACAATAAAAAAATGGGATTTAATTAAATTGAAAAGCTTCTGTACAGCCAAGGAGACAATAGCCAAAGCAAATAGACAACCTACCCAATGGGAAAGGATATTTGCATATTGTGAATCAAATATGCATATATATATATTTGTAATCAAATATACAAAAACTTAATAAACAGGATATATACAAAACTTCAATTAATCCACCAGAAAAACCCCAACAATCCCATATATCAATGAGAAGAGAGATGAATAGAATCTTCTCTAATGACAACAGACGAATGGCTAGCAAACACATGATAAAATGCTCATCATTCCTAATTATTAGAGAAATGCAAATTAAAACCACTTTGATATATCATCTAACTCCAGTGAGAATGGCTTATGTCACAAAATCTCAAAACCGCAGATGCTGGCACAGATGTGGAGAGAAAGAACACTTTTACATTGCTGGTGGGACTACACACTAATACAATCTTTTTGGAAGGAAGTATGGGGAAACCTCAAAGAACTCAA